TTGGCAGTTTTTTGGATATAATACCAAAAGAATAGGCAACACAGCAAAAATAAACAAGTACAAATACATTAAATCAGTACATTTCTGCACAGTAAAGGAAACAACAAAGGGAAGAGACAACTCACAGATTGGGGGAAAACATTTGCAAGTCATACATCAGAGAAGGGATTAATAGTAAAGCACATCAGGAGTCATAATGTGTGGTAGAAATAAATACATAAATAAATCTGATTTAAGAATGGGCAGTGCTCACTTCGGCAGCACATATACTAAAATTGGAATGATACAGAGAAGATTAGCATGGTCCCTGCGCAAGGATGACACGCAAATTCGTGAAGCATTCCATATTTTTTAGGGGCTGGGGATGTAGCTCAGTGGTGCCTCCACCTGCCTCACAAGCACAAGGTCCTGAGTTCAATCCCTAGTACTATATGTATGTATACATATATATATATATATTTTGGGCTGGGGATTTAGCTCAGCAGTTCAGTGGCCTGCCCTGCAAGCGCAAGGACCCAAGTTCAATCCCTGGTACCAAAAAAAACCCAAAAACAACAAGAACAACAACAAAAAAAACAAAAACCAAAACAATGGGCAAAGGACCTCATAAGACATTTTCCCCAAGGAGAAACAAAAGTGGCCAACAGGTTCATGAAAAGGTATTTATCATCACTAAAAGGGAAAAGCAAATAAAAACCACAAGAGATTATCATATCACACCTTTCAGAATTGCTAACAACTGCAAGATAAAAGGTAAGTGCTGGAGAGACTATGGGAAAAATGGAACCCTGTACCCTACTGGTGATAAGTATACATTTGGTACAGCCATGATGATACATTATGGAAGTTCCTCAAAAAATTAAAAGTAGAACTACCACATGATTCAACAACCCTACTTCTGGGTGTATATCTGAAGGAAATCCAAATCAGTATCTTGAGGTATCTGCACCCTCATGTTCACTGTGGCCAAGACATAGAAACAACTCATACGTCTGTCAACAGATGGACAAAAGAAATGTGAAAATAAAGATAATAATCTATGTATGTGTCAATCAAATGGAGTATTATTCAGCAATAAAAACAAATCCTGCTATTTGTAACACCCTGGATGGACCTAGAGTGCATTATGCTAAGTGAAATAAGCCAGCCAGAGAAAGATAAATAGCCTTTGACTGTATTTATATGTAGAATCTAAAAAAATTGAACTCAGGCTAGAATGGTGGTTGCCAAAGGCTTTGGGGTAGGGGTAATGGGGAGATGTTGGTGTTATAAACTTTCCATTATAAGATAAATAAATTCTAGGGATCTAATGTATAGCACAGCGACTATAGTAAACAGTACTGTACTGTACACTTGAAATTTGCCAAGAGAGTAGTTTTTGTTTGAAACAGGGTCTTACTATATAGTTCAAGCTGGCCTCAAGCAATCCTACATCAGCCTCCCAAGTAAGTGCTGAGATTATAAGTGTATACCACCACGCCCACCCTGAGAGTAGATTTTAAGTGTTCCCTCCCAGTTAACAACATGAGGTGATGGATATTTTAATTAACAAAATTGTGGTAACTATTTCATAATGTGTATAAAATAATCAAATTTTGCATCTTAAATATACATAGTGTTATTTGTCAATTATACCTTAAAAAAGCTGGAAAAAATTTTGGCCAACAAACTTAACTTTCAAACAAAAACTCAGAGGAACTCAAAATGGCACATATTAAAGAAATAAAGTGAAGCTGTTTTACTTAATGAGGGTGGTACAGAAAAGCTTTATAACTTAGCTTCATGGTATGAGACACATCAAAGATAATTTTTTTTTTTTTACTCAAAAGAGACTGAAATCCATTTTTCTATTATCTGAGAGGGAAAATAATCTGACTGTTGTAAAATTATTGGTACAGATTTATTTTCTATAAATATTTGTTGAAAAAATATTTCATTAACTAAAAGAAGAACTTTTGGAGACATGCTGGTAAAGTTAATAGGAAATAATTATAGGAGCGGAAAACAAATTGAGAGTTTGCTACTTTACAGTACTGAAGAGATCAACGTGTCTTACACTTCTACACTATTTACATTACTGTTTAACCAGTGGAAGTTTCTTAATCTCTCAGCTTCAGTTTCCTAAGGAATAACACCATCTATCCAATTTGCTGGTGGAAAAATTAAATAAGTAATCATGCGCAAAGTATCCAATGCCCAACAGGGATGTAATAAAATTTAATTATCTTCTTCACATAATGTGTAAGAGCTTCAAAAATTCTAGAGAAGCAACAAGTCAAAACCTTCTGTGGAGATTTGCTCTGTATTTTTTATAGGGGAGAAGCATGAGGCCAATGCAAGCTTCAATATCTGTACAGTTTAGGCAGGCAAAGGAAGTCAGGTAGCCAGAATGAGAACACTGGCAGTTGGGCATGAGGCCTTTATGCAGCTATGGCCAGCTGTGGCTGTGTAGGAAGGTAGGCTCATGGTGCCTGATGTCTGAATTTTCAAGACACACTGGAAGTGCAGATTTAGAAACTAATTATACATTAAACATTGTGCAGGTCAAAATATGTGCATGGGCCAGTTTCATCTCATGAGCCATTAGTTTATAATCTACCAACAAAATGAACAACAACAACAAAAAAAACCAAAACAAAACTGGGGTAGGTCTCTTGACCTTGACTTTCCATGTGAAATTATACACAAAGGGGTTAGGCTAAATTTAAATTCTGAAAATATGGTTCCTTCCCACTAGGGGCAGATTTTACTAAGGACTCATAAGCATTTTACTGGAACTGGATGGCATGTGAGCCAAGTAAATGGTAGCAACACATACTGTGTACACAACTAGGCAGATGGCTGGGCTATAAGCTATTTTTTGAAGATTGTTTTGTCATCTTAAGTTGGTTATTTTTAAGCGCTTTTACTGATTTCTAATAATAGACTGTTGGAGTATCTTCATCTATTCAGTTAGATGTGGCTCATTTCACAATCTCTACTTTAATGTCTATGGGTAGCATGTCCAACAGAAACTTCTGTGATGATGGAAATGTTTTCTATATGTGCTGTTAAATATGGTTGTTAAGTACCTTAAATATAGCTACTTCCAAAGTGGAACTGAATTTTTAATTTTACTGAATTTTAATTAATGAAATTTATTTAAATTTAAATAGCCCCATGTGCTATGGATACTATTAGACAGTAAAGGATTATAGAATCTCTAATTTATATAATTTACATATGTTGGTTATAAATTGGTATTGGTGCACAATATAATTTTATTCATAAGTAGTTTGACTTATGAAAAAAGCTTACATATGAATATTTATTCCTTCAGTTAAAGCAGATAAACATATCCTCTAAAAATCTGAAGGTATAGCAACACTTAAGTGGCTATGTGCATCTGTAAATTTGTGTTATTTAAGTGGTTCACAGCAGCCTGGCATGGTGGTGCATGACTATTATCCCAGCACTTGGGAGGCTGAGGCAGGAGGATTTCTGTGAGTTCAAGACCAGCCTGGGCTACACAGTGAATTCCAGGACAGTCTAAACTACATGCTGAGACCCTGTCTTAAAAAACAAAAACCAAAACAATACATGGTTCACAACATGTTATAATTACTTTCTTAAATTTTTAAGATTTCCATTCACACAACAAATAGGGAACTACTCACATGTCATCCATCAGGTGGCTCTGTGCTAGGTGTTGGGGCTACTATCGTTAAATAAAAACAAATCCTGAAAAGACTTTGTGACTGTATGGAGCTTTTAGTTTAGTAGATGTGTGTAAGTTTATATTTTCTATAATATAAACACATGACAGTCATATATTACTCTTTTACAATCTCTTGATTACTAAATTATTGGAATTTTTTTTCTCACTAGAGGAAGGGAATGGGTAAGAGAACATGGATGAATGATTACATTAAGTTACCATGATCATCCTTTAAGCACTGACAATTACATTTGACTATTATATCATCTGTAACAATGAATACATAAGCAATCTCCAGGTCTTTTACTTGTAAAAGGAAAGAATCCTTACCCAGGGAGACTGTGTTCCCAACATTCTCCTTCCTGATTTCGCGATAGAGGTCTCTGTGAACAGGGATTTGATGCACGGTCTTTTTGTGGGAAAGACTTCTTATCACATGGACATCTTTCACTGGTTCCTGTAACAACACTAACACCAATGACTACCAAGATAATTGCATAGGGCTTCAAAGGATGAATGGTCTTGGAAAAAGTAAAGAAGGGGCCTAGAGAAGAATTTAAACTAACGAGTCAAGTATGTATTGTTTGCCACATAAAGCAGAAGATATAGTAAAGAATCACAAGACAAGGTAAGGTAAAAGGTCCAGCAAGGAGTCCCATTATTCAGAATATTGAGTACAATCTTTTCTGGAAAACGAGTAATAGGAAAAATGCCTCTTGGAGGGAGTACAAAAATTTGAGGATTAAGAAGGCTCAGGAAATCACTGTGTCTGAACATCCTAGGAAGAAAGCCAGAGAGGACAATCACAATTTACCTGGGACCCAGCAGGAAGATGTGTGGTTGCCACCTCCTGATCTATGATGCTCCATTCATCAGCAGGGGCAAGAACCCAGGGAGAAGACCGAACTATAAAAAAAGAAAGAAAAAATTAGTATTCTGGGCTGTGGCCCCTGTATTCATGTTCTTCTCCTTTTAAGAAATGACATGTATTAAAGCCAAGTTACATAAACTGATGATTTTTTTCAGTGAGTTCACAGCAATGCCCAAACTGGAACACCCTGAAGTCAGGCTTACAAACTCAAATGCTTTCAGGTGAAGGCAGGTAAAGAACCTGATGGAAGGAGCCTGTTGGGATGGGGGGAATTGGAGAGCACATGCCTTGTTGAAAAGGCATAGCTAAAGCTCCACTGATGCTTCCATGTGAGACTATGGCACTGGTAGAGGCAGGGTTTCAAATTTTTCCAAGAGAAACCAGAAATCTACACTTTTATGAAATCCCAAATCTTAAACCCTGAGAACCAAAACCTCCAAACAAAAACTATTTGCAGATGAACCAAAACACATCTGGTTGGGTGTGCAAGTTAACAGTTTGCAAACTTTAGTGTAAGTTAAGTCCCTATGAATGATAACTGTCACAAAGAATTTAGCAAACAGATACACAGTAATGGACAAATATAGGAAAATACATCCTCTAAGGATGGAGGGAAGATACTATAACTTTTATATAGCACACGTGTGGTCTAACTTCTTCCCTGAAACTCACTAACTGGGGAAAATTTAAAAAATTAACTACCACAGAAAGACAGGAAGGGGAAGCAAGAATAATTAAAATGTAATATGTATATGTAGCACTTCCCCAAGATGAATGCAGTTGCATATTGTAAATATATACTAATAAAAAGAAATTTAAAAAATTAATAAAAAGAATAACTATCACTTGTCACCAAGAATGCAAAAGCTTGCTCCACTAATATCTACAGAAGTCAATTCTTTGGAAACATAATCCCTGAAACACAGCTGAAATCACAGATCTTCCTTTAGAATGAATTTACCATTCTGAGATACCTGTATCTCAAATTTTCTATCCTCCATACCCCAGTCAATATCTCAACAGAAAAAACCCCTTTTCACTTTAAAAATTCCTTATCACCTTGAGATAGCAAAAGTCAAAAATACCAGAAATAGGTATTTGCTGGACTAAACCTATCAGCTAGTCATTGGAGCTACTTGATGCATGTGATCAAGGGAGCTTTGATGCTAATGAGCACACTCTGGATAATTCAGGATCTACCAGTATTTGTAATGTGTTCTGTCATGCACAGTATGAAATTGGGGAAGGTACAAAGGTAGAGTATGGGACAGTGAGAAATCTCTTGGTGAATGGTTGTATAAGTCAGGCACACATGCAGTTTAAAGATAATTTTGTCATTATGGGAGGAAGGAAATGAACACATACTGAGCACTATTATACACTGGCCATTTTACACGACCTCACTTCATCTATATGAACAACGCATTATTTTCCTTTTGTAGATGAGAAAATGAAGTTTGAAGAGTTAAGTAAGCTAACCAAGGATACATGGATGAAAATGGAAGAACTAGGGCTTCAACCCAGGTCTGTACACCTCTAAGGCCTAAGCCCTCAACCTCTATGAATTCATGCTCTTATTTCTATTTCTTGCCCAAGATCAGACAGAGGAGACAGAGAAAAGATACAAAGTCTTTTGACTGTATGTCCAAAGATCTTTCTATTCAGGAGATGGAGAGATAACTGAACTGGGAAGGGCACTGTGTTCCTTGTATTGGACTGGATCCATTCATGTAGAGGGTAGCTGTAAACATCTCAGTGAGGTTTTACTACTTATCCTTTACAAATCCATCTTGCGATGCCCTAACTTTTGAGTCAATTTTCTGACATAAATATCTTGGTTCCCTTTCCAGTTTTTCAGGTTGTTTATTATAATCAGTTAAGAGCACATATGACCAGGGTAGGACTAAAAACAGAAGCTGACTACAAAATGGAGATTTTAAAATAATATTAAAAAACTCAAGGCTGGCCTGGGCAATCTAGGTTTCCTATTTACATCTTTAAGATCTCATTATACTTAGGTTGAACAAGTTCTCAACTTTTGAAGCTAATGAAACTTGTTTTCCCAACTATTTAACTTATTTTCAAATATGTACCTAGGGCACTCTATACTGAGAAAGTCACAGTGTCACAATCTAAATCTGCCATGGTCTCTGCATAGAGCATGCTCTAAGTCCTTCTTACCATTTCTGGGCAAGGGCCGATGCTCTCTCTTTTGATTCAGCTGTTCCTGGTGTCCTGAGTGGAGGCTTCCAGCTTCCTCCCGAGACACTACTCTGGGTTGGGTCTCCACCTGCTCTGGTTGAAAGTCTACTATCTCCCACACTGTTCCAAGTGGGGCTTGCTTCTCCGCATGTACAGGACTGCTGACCTGGGAAACAAAGTTGATACCATAATGGAAAGGGGGAGGGAAAGAGATCTAAAACAGGGACAAATTTGCCCAAGAATGATATTCAAGGACAGAAGATGTGAGAAGGACTGAACATTTCAGACAGTTCCCAGTGGAATTCCTTGAGGATGTTAGGTTCACAGTATCATATAGGATTTCAAGTTAAAAGAAACAGGAGAGCATTTTTTATTGCTTACAGAGAGGGAGGAAATCTGTCAGGAGTGGAATACAGAACTTTCTTGTTAGTAGAATAGACGTTATTTGAGTCCTTATATCTTTTAGGTTCACAGATAGGTTTTGAGAATGTGAATATATTCAGTAGTGAGCTGAAAAGTTACAAAATTATTCCCTATATCGATCTCTTACTAACAAAGCAACCTGCTGATAGTCACATCTTTTTACACAGTGCAAATCCTGTGTGAGAAAGTTACAAGCCTGGCAAAGACCACAGGACTTCAGGAGGTTAATGAAAGACAGTCTGAAAGTCACTGACAGAACATGCAAAGCCACTGAGAAATGAAAATCTAGCAGTTAAATTGGAGAACAGTCACAAGATCATGGCACTGAGAGGACTTCAAAAAACATTAGGTGGAATGTTAAGGAATATTAAAGTGGAATATTAAAGATACTGGGATAACCGATGAAGGTTTTTTTTATGTAAAATAGCCCTCTTTAGGATCAAGCTGTAAAAGTCAAAACCTGTGAAGCATAACCCTATCATTCTCTTATAATTTGCTGCAAACATTATGCCAAAGATGTCAAAAACAAATATTTAGGGGCATAATGTTTAGTTTCATCTTCAAGGTATATTTCAGCCAAACCTTTTCCCCTTTCTGTTTAAAATGAAGTTCTGATCCCATTTTAAGTGGCTTCACTTTAGGGATCTTTTATCAGTGCCATTTATCTCTCCATAATAAGCGGTTCATAATAATGCATCCTTGCTCACCTGCCTGTCCCACCTTTTTAAAATGCAAAAATCTTAAAACTCCTTTCTCACCTGCTGCCTCAGTCTTCCAGTCTCTTTCTCCAAATGGACTACGAGGGCCACTGCCTCCTCTCCACTTTCTGGACACTGCCTCTGGGCCCAAGCCTGAATCTTCTTGGGTAAAATGGTAAGAAACTGCTCAATCACCAGCATCTCAAGCATCTGTTCTTTGGAACGCATTTCAGGCTTCAACCACCTGCAGCAAAGTTCCCAGAGTTTACTGAAAGCTTCATGGGGTCCAGTCACATCCTCGTAGCAGAACTGCCTGAAGCATTTGCGAAAGGTCTCACACTCAGCGCTATCCGATTCTTCCAGAAAGGGCTCCGACGCCCACTCGGGGTCCTTTTCCATCTTCATTATTACACACTCCTCCACCTCCAGGGGCATGGTGACCTGGGAGTCTGTAGCCATGCTCCAAACGGGGTGGTGCTGGGGGTGCCAACTTCAAGTCTAACTCAAAGAGAGGCTTGAGAAACGTCCACAAGCTTAATGTGTTTGGAAGCGTGGAAGGCAGTGAGGTTAAAACAAAACAAAACAAAAAATACCCAAACGGTGCAACTCAGCAGTTTTAGCAGAAATGGTATTTCAGGCTGATTAATCAAATCTATCCCAGGCCCTTGAAAAGGTGAATGAGTATCCAAAGTCCCAAAACCTGGCCTCTTCTCCAAGCAAGCTGCACCCCGCAGTGTAGCTCTCTGGAGGGCATCCCTTTTAGTGCAATGTCGGAAGGCAGAGCGAGGCTCCGGCACCCAGAGGAAAGCAGGCGCGCGGAGGAAGGATGGGGAGGAATTATCTCGGGTTTGGAGGGGGTGTGTCCGCCGCCCCGACCCCGGCTAGGGGGTCAGGCGGCGAGTGGGTGGGGCCGGACGTGCGGGCTCCTCCCGGCCCCACGCTCCCCTCTCCGCAACACGGTGT